TTTTTACGTCACCAGAAACCAACAATTTCCTTACAAATAGACTGCACAATAGAAATAGGAAATATGAAACAAGACATCACATAAATAGAAAGAGCAATCAAAACATATTTGATAAGAACCTCCCATACAAGTCTCACTCAGAAACTTGTTTTTCCAACTCTTGCTTTTGTTTCTCACGCAATCACTCACAAAAGCAAAAGTTTCTCTCTTAGATTGTACTCTTTTTTCTTTATCTCGGTTTTTTTCCCACGGGGTTTTTTTAAATAATGTTATTATTGAGACAACACAAGTGCACATTTTATAGTGGTATTTCCAAAAGAGAGTATTGTGGATAGTATGATACTAGAATTACCATAATTCGGTTTCTATTTTCAGTCTTTTATCTCTCCCTCCACGTTCATAACACAAACCATATTCTCAAAAGTGGGCCACATAACCACAGAGCATAGATCAATTGACTTTTGAATTTTAATCATAACCACAGAGCATAGATCAATTGACTTTTGAATTCTATCACCTTTCAACTGCTGGTGGTTAAAAATTCAACAGGTCTACCATCAATTGAAGAAAAAAAGGCCCAGGCTTCACGAAAAGCATGCCTCCGAAAAAAGAACAAGACAGCCACAAAAAAATTTCCACATACACGTGACAGCTGAAATTTAGTTTATATAGTCAGACTTTTGATGATGATCAGGTAAAAAATGTCTACACCAAATCAACTTGAGAATTTAGCAACAACTACACCTTTCCAACACCCATAATGGTACTCACATGAAGATCTAGTTAAAAATCAAGATGATGAATAATTTGGACTCTAATATATATAACCAATTCCCTCAAATAGAAACCTATACATATCCTCTAACCAAAGCAGCTTACAAAAGGGAAGAAAAATGAAACTAGCAGTAAAGAACAGAGGGGAGTTAGAAAAGAAAAGGAGGAAGCATCACAAAAGACAAACAACACAATCAAAAAAGGGCTGGCTTAAGNAAAAAAAAAAAAAAAAAAAACAACAACTCAAAAAATTCATCGGCATTCAAACCAGAGAACAAAATAAAACACTAGAGTATAATAATCCATGCAGGAGTGCCTCATTTTGCAGAATTTCGTAAACCTAAATTCCACAAGAGGGGCATCGAGCACGTGTTTATTATTATTCAGATTTCGTAAAGCACGTGTAGATGGATTCGGGATTTCGTAAACCTAAAGTAAGAAGTGCTTCAGATTTTGTATATCATTATTCAATGAGCAGCACGTGTAGATGGATTCAGGATCAAAAGCACGCGTTTATCCTCAGCAAACAGACCTGAACCAACTAGTTTAGATACAAGTTAGGAAAGTTCGGTGTCCAATAACGAACATGAGATTATAACGGCAATTAATGACTAACATGATTAATGAACCCTAAACAGGAAAGCTAGTATAGTAGTAATCGACGTAAAACAGACATGCAATGATTTCTGAACACGTTCTTTCATTCACATGCATAGCTATAATGTTTTTGAATTACCAAGTGCATATATAAACACCATACATAGCTAAAAAGATTTGAAAAATTACCCAGAGTAAATGAAAACACCATAGACAAAGGCTTCACTCCAACCAAAATCAGAACACTTTTACTTTACCTGAAGCAATCCTGAAGTACAAAACTGCAGATGGAGATTAGTGAGCAACACAGTGAACCATCAACATATTCAAACCAATCATCACAATCATAGGTCAGCAGCCAAATCAATATTTGAGTCGAAAACCACTAGCAGAAGTACTTCTCGAATTCATAACAATGCAGCTGTTATAAAGTCATCGAAAGTATAAATTATTTCACCAGTTGCAATTTCAAATACAGATAAAGTTTCAATCTTTCAAACCAGCATCAGAAAAAACGACTTGCAATTGAAAGGGCTAAAACAGCAGATATCAAAATTCCATAAAACATCACCAGAAACAATTAATTGTCAAGACGAGTTTCCTTGATAATCCATAACATCAATAGTTATAAATATAAAAGCCAAATCCTCTTCAAACAACATACACTCATACAAGACAGACTCTTAAATTTATGTCACAACCCTGTCTATGAGCATTCTTCTCCGACCCTCAAATTAAAAGGAAAAAACCCTCAAATTAAAATGAAAAAAGAAAAGAAATTTAATAATATTTTTGGATATCCGCCGGACAACTAAATCATCCCGTGGATGCAAACACCTCAGAGTCGGAGGGCAGTGCAAGCAAGCTCGTCCACCTCAGCGGCGGAGTCCGGCGGCATGTTGAGATCGAAAAGTGGGGGCTTTTTACAAGAGGATGAGGCAATATCAAAATCAGCATCATCGACAACGGAAGAGGAGGAATCACAATCACTGTGACAGTCTTCCGGATCCACCGGCGGCGACCGTGGATGGCGCCTCTCCGGCTGAGTGACCGGCCGCGGCTGTCGCGGCCCGCTGTAGGACTCCACGGTGCTGCTCATCCCACTGGAAACGGGCCTCTGCTGCGCGATGATCTGACGATCCAGGGCGTAGTTCCGCGAATTCACCAATGGATCGCCGGGATTGTTGTGGGCAAGCGGTTGATTAGGGTTTTGAGGGTTGAAATCTGGGAAGGCGCCGCCATTTTGGGGCAGGGGGAAGTTCGTCTTCGCCTTGGCACCGCGGAGAGAGCGGGCGGCGGCGTCGTAGGCCCTGGCCGCGGCCTCCGCCGAGTCGAAGGTGCCGAGCCAGACACGTGTCTTCTTCCAGGGGTCTCTGATCTCGGCGGCGTATCTGCCCCAGGGCCTCTTTCTGACGCCTCTGAATTTGATCTCGTTAGATCCTCCAGATCCGTTGGCTTCTCCAGCGCGAACCGCCGCCGTTGCAACCCTTCCCGGCGCTCTGCCTCGCCGCATGGCCATAAATAAAATTTATAAAAAAATGAAATCCTTTTTTCTCTCAGCGAGAAATGGGATAGAGATGAAAAGTAAACGCATACATATATACACAGAGGATCACACAACGCCAGAGATGGAGATTGAGATGAGATTGTGAATTCGGATAATCTAATTTTCCATTCCTTTTTTTCTCTCTCTACTGTGTGTTGTGTGGGAAAAGAAGGGGTTGGGAGGTGAGCGTTTTTCTATTATAAATTTCTAATTATTAATTATTATTATTTTCTAATTTTGATATTTATGGTTGTTTTATTGTTTATTATTCTGCTAGTATGATACCTTGTACATACTTGAAAAAAAGTGATACTTTATAAGAGAAATAAAAGTATTTATATTCTTATTGATAAATTATAAAAAATAAAAAACTAAAAAATGATATTATTTAACATGAAACCGTGTTCTACACTTGATTTCTTAAAAGTAATAGTTATTAATTATATTTATCAAATTATATATATCCAGAGCAAGTGATTTCTAAAATACCATAAATTTGATTTCGATTTTTGTAGTTTTCTTAAATGTTTGTATTGTAGTGATTGATTTTTCATATATTAATTTTTAAGTATTTTAAATTTATAATATTTGATGATTTAAAATATAAATCAAATGTAATAGTTTTTAAATTTATAAAATAGATTTTTGTGATTTTTATTTATGATGTTTATTCGTATTTTGATTTACAATATCATAATAACATTTAAAATTTATACATACTTTATTTAAGTTGAGACATAATTTTTTTGAATATTTTTCATATTCATTTTTTGTTGATACTCAATTTCTACATTATTTCAGATAATATAATAAAATGGTTGTTTATGGCATAATATGATACACGTGTAGTACACAGGTACTTACTTAAATATATTTAATATTCGTACAATAAAAAATAAAAACTATTTATATTTTTATTATGAAATTATGTATAATGCAAAGTGATAACTATTTCAAATTAGCGTCCGCATTTTTTTACTAAATTTATCAAAAATGATATTTTGTAGTTATATTTTTTAAATTATATATATCTAAAACAGATATTATTTACAACTCCATATATCTGAGTTGATATTTTTTAAAATATGATTATGGTATTCTGATTATATTTTATATCTATAGAATCGGTGTCTCTCGTTTATTAATTTTTCAGTTTTTTAAGTTAATTTATAATATTAATTTACACATAAATATACTATTTTATAATGAAATACAAAATTATTTTATTATATTTAATTATGATATCGCTTATATTTTAAATAACATAATAACATTTGGTTCCTTATACAATATATTTAAATCGCAAACTTTATAATATTTATTATAATTTATTTTATGTAATACTTAATTTCTATATTTTATCAAAAATCTATGAAAAAATTAGATTAAATTAATTATTGGTGTATTGATAAATTAGATTTTTATTTTTTTTATAAAAATATTATTATAAATATTTTATAAATTTTTTGATAATAAAATTAATATTTTTTATAAAGATAGATGAAATTTTTTATATTTTATGTATGCAATATGAATGTCCGAAGATCGTTAAAATATGATATTTTAATGTATTATAAATAAAAAATAACAAAAAAAATAAGAAAGTTATAATCTTTTATATATAAAAAGGAATACTAATTCATGATAATTAATATTATAATCTATATATATTGAAAAGGTTGTTGGAAATATTTAAAATTGAAACTTTGAGTGTATAATTAAATAGATTGAGTTATTATTAAAGGATATATAGCAAAAAAATGTTTAATATTTTTTAAAAATAAAAATTAAATTATTTATATCTATTGCAAATCATGCAATTCAGTTAATAACATGACATTATATATAAATAAAGTGGTATCAATTTTGAAAGTTATTTTGTGATAATTATCACAATCAAAATTCAATTTTTAACGTTAATTACGAGTCAATGCAATTTCTTATTCTTTTTGTAACCAAACCATATTATGTGAATATTTGCAACGTCTTCAAATGCGACTAATATATTTTGTCGGTAGAAAATATCATTCAGATATTCATGATAAAATTTCCAATATAATTACAAAATAAAAATAGAAATTTATTAGGGAAATTTTATTATGATTTATCATAATATTACAATAATATCTTATTCAATCAACATTAATAACAAATCACTTGATTTCTTATTGATATGATAAAATATAACATATTCATATTATAATGTGTTTAGTATAAAATAGTCCAAAATATTAAATGTTATGTTTATTCCTCATGGATTTAATAAATTAATGCTAAATATAAAGATTAAAGAAAACAATTACTTCTGGGATCATGTATATACGATATGAAAATGATAAACCAAATGGTCATTTTCGAACTATCATGTAAATTATTAGATTATAAAGAATCTAAAGTTTTATTATATATATTGTAATAACTGATGATTGGGGAAGGATCGAGAGAGAAGTATTATGTGACTACTATTTATTGATAATATTTGAATATGTTAAAATTTCATTATCCTCCATTCTAATCAATAACTCTAAAATTATAGCTATTTTATAACAAATGAAATAAACATATAAATCATATATTAATTTATTATATATCATAAAATAAAAGAAAACAATTAATAATGACAATTCTTAAAACTATTTGCCATGTGCATCGCACTAGCTACATACTAGTTAAATAAGAAAATGTAAAAATGGTATATGGTAATTTAAGAAAAAAAGAAATCTAATTAAAATATTTTATGGTAATTCGCAAACGTAATAGTCAAAGCCAAACTTGTACATTTGTCAATAAGAAGCACAAATGTATGACAAATAAGCATACAAAGCACACGAGCATTCCACTTAATTTCACATATTCGATAATTATATATAGGGACGATAATAAAAAAAATCAAAAAAATAATAGGTTGGGACTAGAGGGAAATTAGCTTTATCAAATTTTCTATCAATTTTCACACGTTCCCACAGACCAACCGGCCGGCCTGCACTCCCGCATGAAAATAAATAATAATATTAATCTGCCATTTTCCAACTTATTTATTTATTTGCTTTTTTTTTTTTTTCGATTCTCCCTACCTAGATATATGTTCTCATCATTGCATATTACAAATTCATTGGTAACTTATGGATTGTTATGTGTTGAACATCTAATTTAAATTAAATGTTAATACTATTACATACACAATCCATCATAGTCAAACGGAAATGGATGTAATAGATATTTGAATTCACTTCACTTTTTACTCTAAATGCCATTACATGAAAAAATAGCTATAACAGCTCATTGCAATTGCTAATTTTAGTTGAAATATCTCCCATAGAAATTTTTGAGTTTTGGATAAATTTTTCTACTTTAAAATCTTATAAGTCATTTTTTAGTTTTCATAATTCTGTATGACAAATCTAGAAATTCGGGTCATTCTATATAGATCTAGACTTTTTAATTTATGCCTAACACTTTGTACAAAATAAAAAATACTTCGTTTACATAAAATTTGTATATAATGTTGTGCATACTTTCACATGTGATATGACCACTTATATAAAAAATAAATGAGATCCACCAGATGAAAGTGCATTTACAGCATCGTATAAAAAATATACAAACTATTACAAATCATATACGATGCTGCACGGGTAAGAGATATGTATTAATATTTATAAACTAAAAATATTCATTAAATAATATTTATAAAGTAAAAATATGAAATCAATATGTATTACAATTTACATATATTAATTTATTGAAAATGTTATATAAAATTTACATTGTGAAAAATTACATAAAACATATCTATTTAAAGGTTTAAAGCCGGTTAACCATAGGTTCTACACAGGGCTGAGCATGGAATTCGGAGAATTCCGAACCGTACCGAAAACCGAACCGAAATCACTCCGAACTGAAAAATATCCATTGACTGTTTAACTTTTTCCGAACCGAATCGAACCGAAAAAATAATTGGTACGGTTCTGGAGATTTCATAAATATCCTTATCGAGAACCGAACCGAACTGTCTCGTACCGTACCGAACCGAAAAATCGAAATTAAGAACCGAATTATAAAAATAGATGCGTGTTATTAATATATTTTATGTCAACTTTGATCCTATATAATTTGAGAATTTTTAAAATGCAAATAAAATATAGTAATAATAATTAAGATTCACTTACATTTCATGTTTAGTAATACTTGATCTACAATTGAATTTCTCATGTTTAAAAAAAATAAATGAAATGAAAGGTTATAGATTTAAAATAAAAATAAAAATTAAGCTTTACTTAAAGTTGTCGATACTTACCCTTAGTTTATCTTATAACTAACATGGTATGGAAAGTTAAATAAATATTATTTTAATGTAAAACTATATTATATTTTGTTTGAATTTAAATTTTCAATATTAGTTGAATTTAGTCTTAACTAAAATTTAGGGTTACTTCTAAAGTTGAATTAAAAATAAATTCTTTAGTTTGATGAAGTATTGATGAATGTTGGATTTAAAAAAAAAAAAACATATAAAAAATAAAATATAACTAGGTGGTCATTCAAAAAAATATAAAAAATGATAAGAAATCTCCGAATATCCGAACCGAACCAAAGCGAGTCAAACTGTTCCGATAGTCCCGAAAACCGAACCGAACCGAACCTAAAAATAAAAATCTCCGAACCGGACCGAACCGATTTTTTGGTATAGTTCAGGAGATCGAATTTTAGTGACATCCGAACTTCGGTTCAGTTCTAGAGATTTATCAATCTCCAAACCGTATCGACCCATGCTCACCCCTTCTACATCCAGAAAGCCGTATGCTTTGGAAGAAGCCTGTACAGTTTGGAAAGGAGTTTTGATTGATCAAAAAGAGTACAAATTGACTTGTTATACTCCTGAATAGGAGACCAAAAATACTGATATATTGGCAGCATTCCGAGTAATTGGCCTTTGCTCAAGGTGGGCATTCCGAGTAATTGGCCTTTGCTCAAGGTTCTAGTTGTACCGCTGAGTTGGGTCGACCCGTGGCCATGTCAAATTAAAAAATTAAAACACGAGGGGATAGTATGCAGTTTGTAAAACACAAATGGATATCGCGCACATTTAGCAAAACACAGGTAGACAGCCTAACCAAAGCACATGGCGCTAAGATCTTGGAGCAAATTTGCTCTCTGGGCAAATATTTTTATACAGAAGCTACACTTTTGGAAATTCACATTCACAACAAACATAATTCTCACTCCCAATCTCGTACACGCATAAAAAGATGATCCAACCTTCTCCACCACCCAAAGAATCATAGTAAGAACATAAAAGCCACGAAAAAGGAAGAAAGATCAAAATAGTCGAGGCATGTAACAACATGAACAAGAACCGTAGGCTGAAAAAATGTTTCTTCAATAAAATTCTCACAAGCTTCACTTGCTATGACTTAGGACAGGTATAGAGCCGCAATACCCCAAATAGGGATTAAAAGAGAACCCAATAATATAAAGGTCACACAAAAAATATTGAAGCAGTAGTAAAGAACAGATTAAAAGAGAACCAAGAATATAAAGGTCACACAAAATATGGAAGCAGTAGTAAAGAACGGCGGCAATAAATCCTACCAGCAAGATTCATCAAATATGAATTGCTCAAAAATACCCTTCCACGTCCGCAAGAACAAAAAAAATGGAAATGAGAAGCACGCATTACCAAAAGTATCGAAAACGATAATACATGCAGCGAAAAAACAATGAAAATTACATAAACCTTAATCTTTTAGTAAGCATTGCATAAAAAACTTATAAAAGAACAAACATTTACTGTCGGAAAAGGCAGGACAGCATACAAGGACAGTAATTAACAGATACATATAATGTTAACGGCGACAAGTAAATTGGATGCTAAATTCAATTGGCTAATTGTTAATAGACAAAAACATATCATGAATATTATTACCAAACATTGTGGCCAAATAAAACAATTAGATGCAAAGATTTCAGGAAAAACATTAAAAGCAGATGTGACCATCTATAGAAAGAACATATAATTGTAACGGAATACAAATATACAATTTTTCTACCGTAAACACCAACGTGAGTATATGATAACTACGACACGTATGGCTTGCATGCAAAAAAAATTCAAAAGGGGAACGAAAACAAACAACATGGACAAGCATGATCAAAATCACGTTATTCTTTGAAACATGTAACTTACCAAAATTCAAAAATGCTGCCTCGACTAAGCAAAAAAGCGAACCAGGAAACAAATCAAATAATCCAACAGAATTGCCCCAATGTCATAGCAGTATCCCAATTTACAGCACCAAGAGTATTTTTACAAACAGTACAACACAAGTGAATATACACGTAACAAAATATGCATTTATCGCTAAGCAGCAGTAACTACAAGAGAGGGATAATTCGTGCCCGAAGTTAGGGCAGGGTTTTTTTGGACCAACACACACCAATATGGGTGTGTGTGATCCAACAATAAAGTCGACTTTTCTGACAAAAAGAACAATTTTTTATAAGAGGCTAGTAACGAATTAGATGTATTAACCAAGATAAGAATGAATCTATATAGCAAATATGTAATATGTCTTGTGTAAACCTGGAGCTAGTACGTGAACTGAACAAAATTATTCTCCACAAAAAACAACAGCCTTTGTAATTCTAAACAGATAAATCAAAAAATCAGCAACATACTTAAATATCAACTATAGATTCTTCTATTATCAATAACGTCAAAGATTAAATATGTCAAGAAAAAGAGTAAACTCTCATCACACAACAGATTTTACTGAACACAGACTTCTGGCTAAATATGACACATTCGGTCTTTCACCCCAGTCTATGAGAAATCTTTTTTTTTTCCGCAGAATAAAAACGGAAAAGGCAAAAGAGCTAAGCAACATAGAAAAGCAAAGCTGAGTAATTTAACCAAATGGGATTAATGGATTTCTTCCAAATGGTAAGTTTCATCATAAGTCATGTGAGGACGGAAAGGCCTCATAGCCGGAGTGCCGTACAGGCAAGCTCATCCAGATCAGGAGATGGCGGCATGTTAAGATCGAAAAGAAAAGGCTTTTTACAAGAAGAAGATGCGATGTCCCACTCGGTATCATCAACCACGGATGAAGAGGAATCACAGTCGCTGTGGCAATCATCCGGAACCACCGGCGGCGAGCGCGGATGCATCCTCTGCCGCAGCAAAAGTGGCGGCGCCGGCAGGGAACGCGGCCCGCTAAAAGACTCCACGGTGCTGCTCATGCCGCTAGAGGTAGGCCTTTGGTGCGCCGTTATGGGCTGGTCCTGGGTGTAAATCCCCGGATCCGCGAGCCGATGGTTAACTTTAGCGTGGATTTGGATCTGATTAGGGTTTTGAGGGTTGAAATCGGCGCCGTCGAGGGGCCATGGGAAGTTGGTCTTCGCCTTCGGACCACGGAACGAGCGCGCCGCGGCGTCGTAGGCGAGGGCGGCGTCCACGGCCGAGTCAAAGGTGCCGAGCCAGACTCGCGTCTTCTTGAAGGGGTCTCTGATCTCCGCCGCGAATCTCCCCCACGGCCTCTTTCTAACGCCACGGTACCCGATCTCCTTGGATCCACGGACTTCGCCGTCGTGAACTGGCGCCGCCGCCGCCGCCCTGCCTCTACGCATGGCTCAATTAAAAGGATGAACCACCGAGAAGTTGAGGAGTAAGAATGAAAATGGAAAAATTAGGTGGATCTAAAGAGAGGGGAAAGAAGAGATTATATGAGGTAGAAATGGCGGATGGCAGAGGAACAACGCCACAGAGAAATGAGATTGGGATTGTGGGGTTAAATCTAATTTTCCATTTTTTTTCCCTTTTGTGTCTGTAGTCTGCCTAATGTGTGTTGTGCGTGTAAACGGAAGATGGGTTGGGTGGCGACAGATTTTTTTTTAATATTAATTTGTTTAATATTATGGTTGTTTTCACTTTGGGAAAAATTCACTTTTGATACCCCAGATATACATGCTTTTCGGTTTTGATACCCCTAATTTCAATTTAATCATTTCAATCACTCAAGTATTCAAAATCTATCATTATTGCCCAAATCGTCAGTTGACCGTGAGTCAACTGACGGCCACCTTTCCTAGCCGGTTGCTTTCTCCAAAGAAACCTAAGAAATCGATTTCCCCTAATTTCTCCAATCGAGCAGACCTAATTGAAATGAAAAAAACCCTTACATAACAATACTTCAAATTACACCAACAATAACTATCTAAATCTAGTTAAAACAGAATTTGATAAGGTACAACAATGAGAGAAGAATTATCTAGGTCATAATTTTTTGATCTTATTGTTGCACACAACCAATGCATTGTTCATGTCATCCACCTTATTCATTGCCATGAGCTTCCATTTCAGCATTCTTCAACTTGTATTGCTCAATTTGATATTGATGTTTATTTGATTTTTCCAGCAAACCAGGTATAATATTCTTTGCTCTTTGAAAAATTTCCAGATCAAACCATATAAAAATTCGGCAAAAACCAAAATTCTGCATTTTTTTTACAAATGCTTGTTATATTTACATCAGGAAAATTAAAAACAAAAATTAAAACAAAAACAAAAATAAAATAATTAGTTACCCCATATTTAGGGCATGCCCAATATTTTCTTCCTAGATTATTTCGGGTCCAAGAGGTCTTCAAGTACATTTTTTCTCCACAATTGCATGTCATTTCCCTTGGAACACCATTAATCTCGGAGTTCCAGCGAGAGTTTCAGCTTCCTCGTGAACTGCTCATGATGCAAAATTACAAATACTTCAAATTCTTTTTTTTCCCTCACTGTCGGCGGCTTTGTGGTGCTGTAATGGAGATGCCCGCCATTTTCTGTCACTTGCAGAAGGAGACGACCTGCTAGAGAAGGTGGCCGTCAGTTGACTCACGGTCAACTGACGATTTGGGCAATAATGATGGATTTTGAATACTTGAGTTACTGATATGATTAAATTAAAACCAGAGGTATCAAAACCGAAAAGCATATATACCTGAGGTACAAAAAGTGAAATTTTTCCTTTTCACTTTTCAGATTTGTATCGTTCCAATATAATTTATTTATTTATATTCCGCTTGCGTGTGAACGGAAGATGGGTTGGGTGGCGAGCGAATTTTTTCTTTTAAATATAAATTTGTTTAATAAATATTGTGGTTGTTTTCAGATTTGTAAGTTGTAACTTTCAAATACTATAATTTATTTATTTTCCTTTTGTTGTTTAGGACAACTTTATGGATGATGGACGCACAGGCTCAGCGTACTGCACCACGCACGCCTCGAATTGCAAGAGTTTTGCCCTTCTCCAACTACGTATTTACCAATATATCCCACGACTCACTGAGAAGTGCCAAATGATAGAACAAGCTGCGAATAACCACCACCGTAATTCAGGTAGGTGCACTCGCGTTGAAGGTGCACTTGCGTTGAGAAATGAGATTCATGCAACTATTCCTATAAAATTCAGTTTAATAAATATTGGGTTTTGATTGAACTTTTATTTTTATAGTTAATTTTCGATTCAAATTGAATTTAATTATTTAGAAAAAATTACGTTCTACGAAGATATTCGTGGTATGTTTATTTCTTTTTAAATTAATTTTCAACTAATGAAGAATAAATAATTAAAATTAGTTATTAAATAAATATTTAAATACTAGTGGTGGAATTTGAAATGATTAGAGATCACAATGGGCTAATAAATAAAGATTACTCTCTTTATTATAGTTAGGGGTGGTATCGGTTCGGTTACCGAACCAATAAGGGCAAAGAACTGATTATTTCGGTAACTACAAATAGAAAACCGTTACCGAACCGATTTCGGTTACCGATTACAAACGGTTATTTCGGTTACCGATTACAAACGGTTCGGTAACGGTTTCCTACCGAAAAAACCGAAACTCACCAATAATAAGTGAGAGGGCCGATTCTTTTTAAATGGGTGAGATGAGCATTCATGAAATTAATACTCATCAAATTTTGATTATTGTACTTATACAGTGATTAATAGAAATATACAAATCATAAAATTAATCCACAGATGCGCAAAGTGGTCGAGCATACTACGACTTTTGTTGAGGGAGATTTGTCCGCGAACAGGGCATCCAATATCCAGAATGAATGTAAGCAACTGTTGAATTTGCTGAAATATTGCTTATGACGGCTTTCAAGTCCTGAATATTGAATAGTAATTATATCCAAAAGTTGCTTGCTTTGTTATGCATTCACAAGCTATATAACATACGTTATTACTTATTCGTTATTAGTATTAAGTTATTAATTATTAATACTAAGTTATTAATGTTACTATTAAGTTATTAACTATTAACATTAAGTATTATTTTTTTTCCTTATCGGTTCGGTTCGATAAAACCGAACCACTATGGTTTCGAAACCGATACCGTACCGATAACATATCGGTAACCGATAATCGGTTACCGTTCTAAGTAAGTCGGTTCGGTTCGATTTTTTTTCTCGTCGGTTCGGTACGGTTCGATTCGGTTTTCGGTCCAAAAATGCCAGCCCTAATTATAGTTACTGTTGTGTGGTCGTCAAGGTTGCACCGCTTCAGTTATTGACAGCGGAAGCTCGTCTCTTTGTGCTCGTTTGACCGCATGCAACGCTTCTCTTGTTCCGGGTGTTCTGCTCGTCTCCCGGAGCTCCCAACCAGCTCTCTTTCGTCTCGGGCTGGTCCAAGCCCTTTGTTTTTTCACGCGGTTTGAGCTGCAAACGAAACACAAAGTTAAGTCTTAGTGGCCAGCAATAATAAACGGGAAAAAATACAAAGAAAATGCCGAAAAATAGGAATAAAAGAGAGGAACGAAAGCTCCCTTTCGTTCACCAGAATCTGACCGGATAATGAAGACACAAAGTCTCTCGGCTCATATCGTCCTTCTTTCCGGCACCCTCGGTTAATTCGCGGCTCGGTGGTGGTCGAAGACGGCGACCCCGGTTCCTCAGCCCGCTCCTCGGGCTGCACCTCTCACTCGTTGCAACGCCCCACCTTTCACACAGAGGCTTGCCGAAAAGCACCATGCAAAGGCTATATCCGTCGAGGGGAAGCTAGGCGACGGCGCGACGGCTCAGAGGCTAGCTCACAACGACCCTCACTCTCAGCTCACACACACTTAAAAATATAGGGCTAAGATTCAGAGTATAGATCGATTGAGAGAGGATCGAGGTTCGAGAGAGAGTTCAGGATTTTTTTCGCCGCAACACAAGAGAAGAGAGTGAAGGGAAAAATCAGATATGTTAGGGCAAGAGGAGAATAGGGTATTTAAGGCTCAAGATGGATGGTTAGGATTTAATCCCTAAATCTAACGGTCATCCTCCATCCTGCCACTTAAGAGAGTAGGAGGTCCAGGCCCAGACGGGATTGAGCCGAGACATCCTTGGCCTTGAGATAAGGATTTGGTTTTGGGCCAAATATCCTAACAGTTACAAAGATCACAACTATAACTACAATTATTCTCTAAGTGTAGCGGCTTAAGCCACACGCAGGCGCGTGCCAGTTGGTCGGCTCGGCACGGACCTGGGTCTTGGTCTTGGATTTTGATCCTTGTTACTTGGCAATTGAACTATGGGTTGGATTTGGGCGGCTTTATGCGATCTGGCTAGTGTTTGGCTTAGACATTGGGTCCCTATGATCTTTATGCGACAAAAGTATTTGCACATCTTTCTAACCCAAATTAAAACCTAAGTTGAGTTGGGTTTAGACCCAACCCGTGTAGCATTCACCAGGTACATTGAACATGGACAAGTTTGACTCCACCTACTAGTTTTGGTGGTTATCAGGTGGACTGAGTGGTGTATTAACACCTAAAAACAACACACTTAACACCAAAATTGTGTATCAATCATAGAATTATTATTTGAACTGTGCTATCCGCAAATAAAACTTGGTTCTGCTCGTGAAAGATCAAGCTTGACTCATTGCTTTCTTAAATGAATCGAGTTTGAACAACTAATCGAATTGTTTTATTAAACGAACCAAAATTGTTCACGAACTACTAATTTTTTAATTATGTATATTTCATAAATACACAATCGTGTCGAACTTGTTTGCAAAAATATTTTATTTTCACGGAGAACTCATTTAGGTTCTTAGGTTTATCAACGAGCAAGTTGATATGAGCTTCAACAAGTTGAACTCGAGTTGTGCCTTAATTTGTCTATTAAATGAGCACAAACACACCACATTAGTTACTTGTCTGAGATGAAATGACACTCATAATCAACTCAGTCATAACATATTTATGTGAATATTGTTGAATTCTATTTTGATTCTTATTTCTTTTGCGCTATATTGTAATATTAGAAAAATATTATTAGAATATATTTTTACAAACACACCCATTGACAAAAATAGATTGATGAATGTAAAATCTTTAGCAGATGCAAAGTATACAAAATTTGAGCTTTTAAAAGTTAAATTCACAAGCAAACAAATGAGATGATAATATTAAACTTGCATAAAATAACTATAATATAAAATAATAAAAAAATCACGTTAAACATTTGTGATGAACAATAATTATACAAACTATCAAGATAAAGAAGTAAAATAATAGAAATGAAAGTAGCACGAGATAGATAGTTGTGTACATTAAACTTTATAGGAAAATGGAGATTTGAT